TATAATTGTCATATATATATATATATAATTGTCATATATATATACGTTTATAACTTAATTTTATCTCTCCGTCTTAAATATTTAATATTAGTGTAGTGGTCTCAAATGAACGCACATTTTCCGAAGTAACGTAAAAAAAAACAACCAACTTTTTACTTTGACGAAGACATTTTGACTTCGTCTTCCTCTACTACGACTTCCACGTATTTTTTTCTTCTTCTTCTTCTATTCTATTTCTTCTTCTTCCACATATAATTGTCTTTCTTTTTCTTCTTGTTCTACTTATATTTATATTTATTCTTCTTCGGTTTATTCTACTACTTATATTTCTTTCTTCTTCTACTGCTAATATTTCTATTTCTTCTTCTTTGGTTTCTTCTTCTACTACATATATTTGTCTTTATTTTTCTTCTACTACTAATATTTCTATTTCTTCTTCTTTGGTTTCTTCTTCTACTTATATTTGTCTTTCTTTTTCTTCTTCTACTACTAATATTTCTATTGCTTCTTCTTCTGTTTCTTTCACTTACTGCTTTGTTCGAACGTGTTTAAATTGACTTCTACGTCACTGTTTGACTCTTAACACGAATATTATTTGTATTTTTTAAATCATAATAAAATGATACCTCCGACGATATGTTGGCGATATCTCCCCTCCTCACCCCCTCGTTCTCGCTCACACACTCTGTCCGTGTGTGTGTTTGTGTGTGTGTGTGTGTCGTCTCAAGAGTGTCGACAATTAATGTTTAAGAGCTCATAAATACAGATCAGAGTGAAAGAGAGAATAATAATCCTGTAAGCAGACGACAGGAAGGGTGAGAGAGGGTGAGGAGGCGAGCTGCTGAATGGGCGGACGAAGAAAGCTGTTATTGTCTCGATAATCTCTCCTCTCTAATCACTTTTCCTGCTCTGTCACTCACACTGCTCCCGCTGCTGCGGCTACAGCTCCCCCCGCGGCACCTCCTTCTCCCTACATTCCATCGCTGCCCGCTTTAAAAACAAAACAAAAACAAAACTTGACTTTTAACCTTTGTCATTGAAAGATGATGGAGCGCAGAGTGACGTGAAACAAACCGTTTTTTGTTTGTCATAGGTCGTAGGTACACGTTCACACACACACACACAGACACACACATAACGTGTTACCGTAAATGTGTTACAGTAAACTACCCGTAAACTTACTCTACACGTCTCATGGTACTCATCGTACTTAATAATATACTGTGTTTAATTTTGACTGTGAATTTAAGGAACTGACGTACAGTGACGTATCTAACAAATTTTTTTTGAAAATGGCGTCTTACATCAGGGCGCGAATATTTGTATCCTCACCGTGGAAGTCAATAAAACCGGGCTGCCCTTCAAACAGACGAGATAAAGTGACGTCAGTGACTATTAACACTCTTTAATTAATAGTAGGACAAGAGCTAAAAGATTAAGCTCGTTATTTAACGTGGTTAGTAATGAGTCGCAACTGCAATTAGCATGGACTCATTGACGCAATTACCCGACAGACATAACTATGAACTTAAACACAAAAAGAAATGTATGTTTTGTGTGTGTTATTACGTTGACAAATTAGTTGAATTAATTTACACCGTTTATATTCAACATTTTAAAGTCATTTCCGGCTCCGAACTCCCCCGACCGCGCCAGCTAATGTTAGCACTGCTAGCAGCTAGCAGCAACACGTTCGGCATTGAGGCGATACTCTAAGCTCTGCTTCGCTTTTCTTCACAAAATTAACTTAAGTGTCATTGTCGCCACCTGCCGGGCGGGAGTGTACCATCAGTTTTAATGCTACATATTTTCGAAATACGATGGTTTAAAAAATTAAATAAATAGGTGTTTATATATATATTATTATCGCGGCAGCTAACTGTCATCGAAACAGTTTGAAATGACCAAAAACGAAAAAAAAAAAATGAAAAAGTCAAATCTGGCATTAACCAGAAACTCGTCAGTAATAATTAAAACCTTCATATGGAGAGAAGCTGATGAAGGGGGCGGAGTCAGGTCTCTAACTGCTGCTCTCACCCTTCAACTGTTGTTGTTTTCTCATTAACTGCTAATTGAGTGTTTCCGAGCTGCACGACCCTCTCTCTCTCTCTCTTTCCCCCCTCCCTCTCTTTCCTGCTCCCTCTCTCCCCCTCCCTCCCTCACTCTCCCCCTCCCCTTCCCCGTATAGAACTGGCGGAGAAGGTAATAACAGCTCTTTACCGTCTATACAGACTCTCCTCCCCTGTTGGTCGCCTTCCCTCCCTCCCTCCCCCTCCCCTCCTCCCCCCTTCTCTTAAAGACACGTTGCGGAGGTGTTGACAGCTCTTTACACCAAACCTTTGACCAGCAGCGAGTTTATTTCTCTCCTACTCTACTTATATTACACACTCTTTTTTTAAACTTATTTTTTATGACTTTTAATTTTTCTTCTTAAACAACATCAAGAAAAAACACGTTTATTCACAGATTTTTAATCGGTTTGTTTATTTATTTATTTTTAAAAATTAGTATTAAGCTTTAATATTAAAATACATTTAGAAACTTCAGGGGATTCTGCTCCTCCAGTCTTGTGACACCGGTCCCCCAGCTGCCGCTCCCTCCGCCCGGCCATGGGCTCCGTGCTTCCTCGTTGGCCCTCAAGCCGGCCTTCAAGCAGCAGCAGCCGCTCTCCCTGGCGGACATCATCACCTCGGACATCCTGCACAGCTTCCTGTACGGCCGCTGGAGACACGTCCTGAGTGAACAGCATCAGCATCAGCAGCAGCACCACAGCCAGCAGCAGCAGCATCAGCTGCAGCACGAGGAGCGTACGGCCCCGAGCGCCAGCCCCAAGACCGCCTTCACCGCGGAGGTTCTGGCGCAGTCCTTCTCCGGAGGTCAGTGAAGTCACACGTCACATTCACCCGGCAAACAAACAACTTATTACGGAAACAAAACCAAATGTCATAGACTTTCATTCCATTTAAAACTAGGATTAGGATTTAAAAAAAAAAAAAAAAAAACTATGACAACAAACTTTATGGATCAACTTATATTCAATAAACACGACCCGATTTTTTTTCTAAATGATTTAAACTTTACCTGTTACATATTTAATCAATAAGGAAAACCTAATCAGAATTAATATAAATTTAATTAAAAGTTTATTCTTTCCATAAATGTGATTCTGTTGTCAAGAATTAAAATGATATATCAGCTTTTTTTTCAGATTTTTTTTCAGGCATGTACTGATGTTGCTTGACATTATTTATTAATTTTAATTTATTCTTCAGGTCCATTAATAACCAGTCAGACGGTTTTCCGCCTCTTCACTGACTCCTGACTAGCATTGATAAATACAGTATTTAAACTCAATGAACTAAAAGTAACGATTCTTTTTAGTTTCCGCGCCGAATTATCTCGAACTTTAAAAAAAAAAATCTAACGTCTTTTATGGTACAATTCGTTTCTGGTTTTGGTGGAATTCGTTCGGGACAATTTTTGAGAAACACTTCCCGTTCAAACCCGCTGTCTTCATTCACGCGATTTATTTTTAAATTCCAATTTTCTCCCCGTGGCCTGCGCCGCACAGCGCAGCGCAGGAATGTCTTTGCTGCGGCTCCCTCTGTGTCCCTCGCTCATCTACGATCCCGAACATTTCTCCTCCACTGTTTCTTAATCGGATTATCTCCCTGCAGATTTTTTTTTAATCTCCATTAAAGTCTCTTTTCTCCATTATGTCACAACCAGTTTCACGCTTCCGCCACAGGCGTGAAACCTGTTGTTACGTAAAGGAGCGAAAGGACTTTTTTTCCCTCTTTAGTTCTGTGTTATATTCTGTTTATCCCGCTGTTTCTTTCCATTGTTGATGAAGTCAAAGAAATGTTAAAAAAAAAGTTCCAACAAACTGCTCATGAATTCTAATGTCTCTTCTTTTTTTTTGCGGCGCTCTCTGTGTGGGCAGGTCGAAGCGCGTGCACGAAGTATTTTTTCACGTACACTTATGGTCATTATTATTCACGTTACATTTAAGATGGTGTTTTGTCGTTTTTTGAATGGACAAAAACAGTCACGAAAGTTTAATATAATAATAATAATAGTTATTATTATTATTATTCACCATCACCAAAATAAAAGTCCTGTGTGTGTGTGTTGGTTCAGAGGTGCAGAAGTTGTCCAGCCTGGTTTTACCCAGTGAAGTGATCATCGCTCAGAGCTCCGTCCCAGGTAAACACCTTTTTCACCGGTTTGTTTTGAGGATTTAATTAGTTAGTTTAATTTTTTTAATTGCTTTTAAAATAGCAACATTTTTATTTATATTATATTTTATTTTTTATATATGCAGAGGAAATTTTGATAGTTCCCTATATATTAAAAATAATTTTAAAAAAATTATATATTTTTGCTAGAATTTTGTTTTTAGTCAAATGTGTCAAATTAAATTAAAAATTATTATTATTGTTTTTTTTTACAGGTGAAGGTTTGGGAATTTTCTCCAAAACTTGGATCAAAGCAGGGACGGAGATGGGACCCTTCACTGGACGCCTCATCTCCCCGGAACACATCGACCTGTACAAGAACAACAACCTCATGTGGGAGGTGAATTTATTCTCCTGTTTCCATCTGTAGATATTTTCCCGCTCTATATTTTCATATATTACAAAGTTTTAACCTTATAAAAAGATTTTTCTCCTTAAAATACTTAAAAATTGTTGATATAAACTGAACGTTTTACCCATAATTCTCCGCAACAATAAACCGAAAATACGTCGATGTAAATGTTTACGTAGTTGATTCGCTAAATGATTAGCGGAACATTAGCTGCGGCTAATACAGAGAACTGGTCATTAAGTCTGTTTTTTTTTCTTCTTCTCTCCTCGTTAGTTGTTTAATGAAGACGGAAGTGTCCGCTACTTCATCGATGCCAGTCAGGAGGATCAGAGGAGCTGGATGACGTACATTAAATGTGCCCGAAATGAACAGGAACAGAACCTGGAGGTGGTTCAGATCGGCAGCAGCATTTTCTACAAGGCCGTGGAGGTCAGTGAACGCACCACTGTCACTGCGGAATAAAGGGTACAACGCAGAACTAAATGAAATTACACGAAAGCAAATTTGTCTTTTATCCTTTTATTCCATATATTTTAATTGCCCAAAGGCTGATTAAGTTGTTTAGAGAATTTACTATGAAGCAAGGACTAAAATAAGTTTTATTAAAAAAAAAAAAAAAGCTTCCGCCAAGGTTGCGAAAATTTGGCAAATATGAAAAGAAAAAACCGGTACCAAAAAAAAAAAAAAAACCTGTAAAAGCTAAATGAAAGTTAAAATCAGACGATTCTGTTTACTCTCATTTCACAAATGACTGAAGGTTAATGGAGGATGAAAAGATTGCGTTACGTAGAGGACTCAAATATGTGTCTGTGTCGCCCTCTGCTGGCACATTTGTTAGCTAAAAAGCATCATTAAGAAAGAGTTTCTGAGCTTCCGATCTGTCTCTCCACAGACCGTCCCGCCGGACCAGGAACTGCTCGTCTGGTATGGAAACTCCTACAACACCTTTCTGGGAATTCCTGGTATTCCTGGAGGAGAAGAGGAGCAGAGCAAGAAGAGCAAGACCGGTAAATAAATAACATTCAGTATCACCGGTTAGAAAAGAGGGACTGGATCCACAAACATGGCGTTGACGTTGCGTTAAATGGATCCTTTTTTTAAATAAAAATAAATAAATAAAAACAGATAAATAATTGTTTCTTATATATTTTATAAAAATATCTCACTAAATATTATCTATTGAGTTTAGAAGGAAATTTGGTCCTTTTTACTTTTTTTATCACGTGCGTATCAAAAGTGTACCACTAGAGGGAGAAAAAGTGCCACATGGTTTGAGCACAAAATCATGTCTTTTATTGATCCCAAGGCTGTGAAATCGCAGAGAAAAAATAAGTCTTAGCAGAGGATGGTTTCGATCCATCGACCTCTGGGTTATGGGCCCAGCACGCTTCCGCTGCGCCACTCTGCTACCGTAAAGAGTTAGTTTGATCCCAGACCAGGCAAAACTCTTAGTCTTCAAAATAAAATACCAATAGGGTCTAAGCCAATAAATGAACCTGGTGGTGTCCACTGTATCTGTGGGAAACGGTGCTCAAACAGTAAGCTTAAACAGTAAAAGCGAGTTTGACAAAGAGTGGTGTTCAAAATAAGGCTTTTATTGCTTTTATTTTTAAATTCATCTTTAACCTCACCCCCCCCCTTCTCCTCCCGACAGATGAGTTTCACACCTGCGAAGGCTCT